AAACCCCTCCCAAACCTCCCCATACACGCCCGAAACCCCCACAAACCGCCCCCAAATCCCCTCAAATCGCCCCGAATCCCCCCCAAACCGGCCCCAAACCCCCCGAATTTGGGGGTGCTGACCAGACGCCGCTGACGCAGCGCGTGGAGAGGGCGCGGGGCAGCACCTCGGCGCCCTGCTGCAGGAATCCTCCCACCGGGAACCAGAGGCTGTTGCCCAGCGTGTACTGGTTCTGCACCAGCCCCGGGCGCTCCCGCAGGCACGGGTGGGGGTTGTACCACTCGTACGGGCTCAGCCTGGGGGGGGCACGGAGGGTCGGGACCCCCCCCCGGCATGGGGGGGACCCCGCGGGGTGTGGGGTCAGCGCTAATTAATCTGGGACTGCCACGAGTTAATTTGGGAGCACCTTAAATTAACCTGGGACCACCTTAAATTAACCTGGGACCACCCCAAATTAATCTGGGACCACCTTAAATTAATCTGAGACCACCTTAAATTAATCTGGGAGCACCTTAAATTAATCTGGGACCACCCAAAATTAATGTGGGACCACCCCAAATTAATCTAGGACCACCTTAAATTAACCTGAGACCACCCTAAAAAAATCTGGGACCACCTTAAATTAACATGAGAAGACCCCAAATAAATCTGGGACCACCCCAAAATTAATCTGGGACCACCTTAAATTAACCTGAGGCCACCCCAAATTAACCTGAGACCACCCAAAATGGATCTGGGAACCCCCCAAAATTAATGTGGGACCACCCTAAATTAATCTGGGACCACCTTAAATTAACCTCAGATCAACTTAAATTAATCTGGGACCACCTTAAATTAACCTGAGACCACCCAAAATGGATCTGGGAACCACCCAAAATTAATGTGGGACCACCCCAAATTAATCTGGGACCACCTTAAATTAACCTGAGACCACCTTAAATTAATCTGAGGCCACCTTAAATTATTCTGGGACCACCCCAAATTAATGTGGGACCACCTTAAATTAACCTGAGACCACCCCAAATTAATCTGGGACCACCCCAAAATTAACCTGAGACCACCTTAAATTAACCCGAGACCACCCAAAATGAATTTTTGGGAGCTGGTTTTTTTGGGGCGTTTTCCCAGGATTTTCGCCTCCTCCCTGCCGCTCCTCCCTCCCTTTTTCGGGGCCGTTTTTTGGGGTGTCCCCCCCCAATTTTCAGCCCGGTTTTGTGGAATCCTCCCCCAGTTTTTGGCCCCATTTTGGGGCGTTTCCAGGTTTTTTTGGGGAGTTTTCCCTGGATTTTCACCTCCCTCCTGCCGCTCCTCCCTCCCTTTTTCGGGGCCGTTTTTTGGGGTGTCCCCCCCAATTCCGGGGTCCCGTTTTGGGGTGTCCCCCCTCACCTGGCGGCCAGGAAGAGCACGCAGCTGACGGCCAGGTAGGCCAGGAGCATGAAGAGCCACACAGCCGGCGAGAAGGGGTCTAGGAAGGAGAAATACCCCGGCTTGCGGCCCTGGGGGGACGCCGAGTGAGACCCCCGCGCTGGCAGCGGGCCCGGAGACCCCCCGAAACTGACCCCAAAATCTGAGA